GCCCTTCTCAACCCCAGATTCCACCCAAACCTAGAAGAAGAATCAGAAGGAACCAAGAAGGAGGAAATGGGTTCATTTTTCAAATCTGACAAAGCAAACAATGATGGAAATTGGTCTTTCAGGGTAGGTCCCCAACCCAAATTTGCTCCCAGAATTTTATTCGATTACCGGAGTTCAAATCGTACCTGATCCAAGGGGAGAAAACTGGAAGCAGATCATGAATGGCTTTCCACGRGGATGCGGCAGTAGTCCTTCCCAGAATTCTAGGATCCCAGTCATTCTCATCCAGCCCATGTATGCTAGCCACAATCTTCGTCCACAATTTGTCCCTTTCCAACGGGAATCTCCACAACCATTTCCCTAATAATGCCATGCTCCTTTTCCTGATATTCCCAATCCCAAGCCCCCCTAGCTTCTTGCTCCTATTTACCACTTCCCACCTCACCCTATGGTCTTTCTTCTCCACTCCTGGTTCCCATAAAAAATCCCTCATTAATTTTTCTATCCTGTTGGGAACCTCTGTAGAAATCTTGAACACTGACATGAAGTAAATATGAAGGTTGGAAAGGGTAGACCTAATCAAGGTGATTCTCCCCCCAAGAGAAAGATAATTTTTCCTCCAAGAAGCAAGCCTTTTCTCAAATCTCTCTACTACCGGGTTCCAAAAGCTTTCATTCTTGAGGTTATCTCCTAAGGGGAGGCCCAAATAAGTGATAGGCCACTCCGAGATAACACTAACTTGGTAATGACGAACTATGATAGAAACTCTGCGGTGGCGCCAACTTGGTAAAAACAAACTAAGATAGAAATTATGTGGTGATGCTATATCGGTAAATATTTACTAAGTTGGGTCGTTGGCGTCACCTCTGCTTCTTATGTGTCTTGGAATGGTCCCAACTTGCATAGAACTTATTAGCTTCCTTCTGTGATGCATCATCCTCTCCCTATATGTACTAAGATGGGTCTTCGAAAACCAACTTTGTAAATGTTTACTCAATTGGTCTGAATTCCGTACTACATCAGAGAAGACTAGCAGGCGATTGCGCCTTGTATTTTTGGAGTTGACAAGTTGGGCACACGACTACAAATTCCTTAATGATGCGGTTCATGCCTACCCAAAAATAGTGTGATGCAATGTGGCAGTATGTTCTTAAAATATTGAGTGCCCTCCCTCTAGTGAATTGTGGTACAATTACAATAACTGAGGCAAGTGTGCTGAAGTGGATGAGAGAACCATGCGGCCCTTGTAAAAATAGAATTGGGCCTTGCATTGAGTAACCTGGTACCATTGCTGGGTTTTGGAACCATTTAGATTGAATTGCTTGCAGTTTGGGGTCTTCTTGGGTTTCTTGTTTGAGAATGTCTGGTAGTGGGTACTGCGGTTTTGAGACTAATAGAATGGAGAGCTCTTGTTTGCGATATAAGGCATCTGCTACTCTATTGGATGTGCATGCCTTATACTCGATCACGTAATCGAATCCCATGAGTTTGTAGGTCCACTTGAGTTGAGATTCTGTATGGAGTTGTTGTTCAAGCAAGTGTTTCAAACTTTGTTGGTTTGTTCTTATGATGAACTTACAACCCATTAGGTATGCTCTCCATTTTTAGACTACAAGAACAATTGCCATCAATTCTCTTTCGTATGTGAATTTGCATAATGATTGTCCATTGAGGGCTTTTCTGAAATAGGCTATTAGCTGGCCCTCTTGCATTAGAACGGCTCCTAGGCCTCTCCCAGAAGCATCACATTCAACAATAAAGGTTTTATTGAAATCTGGTAAAGCAAGTATTGGTGGTCTGGATAGAGCTTGCTTAAGTAGATTGAATGCAACTCAGATCGTCTCATTCCACAGAGAGGCCCAGAAACCCCCTTGGGCTCTTGAGATATGTAAGTTGGGGCCATGATTTGATGGCGGCTACCTTCTCCGAGTCAGCTGAGACCATGCCTTTGCTTACCACGTGGCCCAAATAATGAATCCGGGTTTTGCCAAAATCACATTTTAGATTTTTTTTGCAAATAGTTGGTGATGATGTAATGTTACTAATGTGATTTTAAGATGGTCCAAATGAGCAGTCCAGTCTGGCTATATACAAGAATATCATCAAAAAACACAAGCATTAAATGATGAAGGTATGGACGAAATACCTCATTCATGAGTGACTGAAACGTTGGCGGCGCATTTGTGAGTCCAAATGATTGGCATGTGTTCTAAACATCGTCTTGTTGACATCATCCAGGTGGACATGTACTTGATGATAATCGGATCTTAAATCCAATTTGGAGAAGATAGTGGCTAACGTGAGCTCGTCCAAGAGTTCTTCAATCAATGGTATTGGAAACCTATTCTTCACAGCAATTTTGTTTATTGCCTGATAATCAATGCAGAATTGCCAAGTATCGTCTTTTTTCTTGACAAGTAGCATCGGTGATGAACAAGGACTTGAGTTGGGTTGTATGTGTTGCTTGGATATCAGTTCAGCTACAATCTTCTCTATTTCATTTTTTTGAGAGTTCGGATACCTGTAGGGTTTTACATTTGCTGATGGGGCACCAATGTGATTGGGATTTTGTGGTTACTTTGTCTTCTATGAATACATCCTCAAATTTGCAAGGAGTGCACTAGTGATGAACAAGGACTTGAGCTAGGTTGTATGTGTTGTGTGGATATCAATTCAGCTACAATCTTCTCTATTTCATTTTTTTGAGAGTTCGGATACTTGTAGGGTCTTACATTTGCCAATGGGGCACCTGGTGCGATTGGGATTCTGTGATCACTTTGTCGTGACTGTGGCAACCCTGGGGTTCTTTGAAGACATCCACAAAGTTTGCCAAGAATCGTTGGAGTTCCATGGATATCTCTTGTTATGCTTGTCCCGGATTCAATTCTTTTAGCTTGGGACTATCCGGGCCTAGGCCCATATTCATCAAAAGATGGTATCCTTGCTATCTACAACACTTAATCATGGATTGGAGGCTTTGAGTCTGTGTTGTTGCAGGTCTTACACCTTAGAGATGGTAGTCCACACCATCTACAGAGAAGTCCATTGTCATGCGGCCCCAATCAAATACCACAATGTCTGCTCCTGAGAACTGAAAAGGGTGCAACTCAGCCTAAAGAAGATAACCTTGTACCTTCATGATGACATTTTTGCACAGACCTGAGCATGGAAGGTTATGGCCATTGGCAACCCAAATGTTGAAGGGTTGGGTCTGATACACAAATAGGCCTAATTGCTTGGATAAAATTTCAGAAATGAAATTTAATGTGCAGTCGCTATTTATCATAACAAATACGGGTTTACCCAACACTATATCTTCGACCATAATTTTTCTTGGGGAGCAGGAACCGCTCAAGGCATGTAGAGAGATCTCCGGTGAGTCTAGTCTATTCCCCTCCATGTTGTTAGGGTATGCCAGATTCTCTAGTTCTTCAGATTCATCAATTTGGATTAGATAGGCCCTCTGGATCTTGCATTTGTGTCCTGGGCCGAACTTTTGTTCGCAATTTTAGCAGAGGCCGCACTCTCGGCGTTTATACACCTCAGTCCAATAGAGCTTTTTGTAGGGGAATAATGCTTGTGAGTTATGTTCTGGAGCTGGGGATATTATGGGCTTGGACCGAATTGGTTCAATTCTGAGTGGGTTCTTGATGAGAGGAGCAAACTATGGTGGTCGTCCTATCTTTTTCCATTGGTTTAATTTTCCTTCTTGTGGTCTTGTGAGTCCCACAGCGGCCATAACAAAGGAGGGCTGCATGCACTTCACTTCGACTCTAATGTCGTCGCGCAGGCCGATGAAGCTCCCAAGCAGTGCAGTTTCCAGCCACCCCTGTACACGATTTGTAAGTTTCAAAAACTCTTGCTGGTATTCCCAAACAGTTCCCTTTTGGTGTATTTTGGGCAGGGCTTCATCATGATTTTCGAACCCTATTGGTCCAAATCTTACGCACAGAGCCTCAATGAAGTCTACCCAGGAAACTTGAGGGTGAGAACATCAAAACCATTGGAACCATACAACGGCTTCACCTTCTAAATGGAACAAAGAAACCAGAATGCGTTGGTTGTTGGGGTCGAGTGCTGGTCTGTTTGTGTTCTCGACCGGTAACTTCCTGATTGCCTTCCAGATTGTTGTCAATGGCGCCCCTCACGATCTGAACCAGTATGGCATTCAATGACTTGTTGATGTTTTGAAGGTCGGCGGTGACCTTGTACAGGTCGATCTCCATTTGATCGACCCAATCTTCCATGGAGTTGGATCATGTGCTTAGCATTGGCTCTGATACCAGCTATTGGGTTTCTGCCCAACACAAACACTGATTCGAAATAGTATAGCCTCCTAGAGAAGAAACGAGAGAAGGAAGACAGAACTGAGAGATTTCTGGGTTGAATCTAGCTTCGCTTTCTTATTGCTTTGCCAATTATTTATAGATGTACAAGTTGGTAGTTGTAACAACTTAAGAATTCAAGAATCAAGATTACCACTTGTTTCTTGCATAGCTGGTTTTAATCCATGTGCTATTTTCCTTGAGTATACTTGTTTGATAACTGGTTTACTGACTTGTTCTTCATTTCTAACACCGACTCTATGCATTTTCTTTTCTTCCTACTTGAAGCAAGAACCACATGCACAAATTGGCATGTGACTTGAGGTAAGCTACATACCTACATACAATTAAAACTTCAAATTGAACTAGTGACACGCTGATGGGACTGTAGTGGCTCTATATTAGGTGCCAATTGGACTTAGGGACTCAACCAGGGCAAAACTGATAGCAGTCTTAAATGGGCTAAGATTGGGCAAGACCCACAAACACAGGCTAATATATACGAATTTTTCTCACTTTGTACATTGTACATATTGTTTATAATATTTCACAAATTTTTTTATTACTGATCAAATATATATATACAAAAGCAAATAAATAATACATACCAAAATTCAATTAAATGCAACGAAAAAAGAAACAAGATTTTTCATAGTGGAAAGCAGTTGAACTCACCCAGACGTCGACGAAGATTCTGTTTCTGACGAGCTAACCGCTCTCCAGAGTTCTTGTTACCATCATTTGTAATATCATATTCCTGTACCATAACAGCCATTAACATATAAAAAGCAACTTGCTCATGGCAAGGTACAAGAAAGAACAAAGATATATACAGAATAAAACTTATCTTTTTAAAGAATGTAAAAACATAGCATATAGAATATCTTGGGAAACCATAACAAGTCAAAACATAAAATAATGAAATAAAGAAAAGGCATCATTAAGGTTGAAGCAGAAGAACAGTTCAAAAGTTTCCAACAAAACCTGGTTAAGAGGCACATCATATTTTTTTGGTGAGCAGAGGCATTCATTAAAACAAAGAAAACAGAGCAACATCATCCAGAACAAATTACAGGACAGAAAATAACACAAACTACACTACTCGACTAAAAGGAAACTAACAACTAAGAAAAGTCTGACGCTAGGGAGTTAGAAAGCCAAGCCAGGAAGTCTTCTCTAGGGAGCTAGAGGCACATCATATAAGCAATCAAAATGTTTGTTAACATTTTATGAAGATACAAAAGAAACTATAATTTTACAGTGTAATACACCACAAATAAGATTCCAGCAAAAGTTTCCATATTTTTTTAGAGCTAACAATCACATTATTAGGGGAAGACTTCTCCAACCTGTCAAAAACTCTGGTTTCTTTCCCTCCAAAAGCTCCAACAATTTTTACAGAGCCATTACCCATACCAGAATGCTACTAAAGCCAAGGGCAGCAAAGGTCAAAAGGTGATAATATCTTCAATGGAATGGACAGCTACCCCGAAATCAGAGAAAACAGAAGGAACCTAACAAACAAATGGTACAAGCATTCTTCCTCACTCTTGCACATGTTACATCTATCCACATCAGGAGGCCTTCAAAGTTCAAGCAAGAACAACTATTTTATGATGGAAAACTATTAAAATAAAAGCCTCTAATACTTGGAGGCTTATTTTTCCCCATGTCCAATCCAGCTTCAGTTGAATTCATTAAAACACCTAGCAAGAGCCACATAAAGTAACTTCTACTTCTTTTTCAACCACCTATTACAAATTAACCCTTCCCAACTGATCGTTCCACAATTCCAACCAAAGTAAAACCATGAATCTCTTTATTCTTGTACAATACATCCCTCTACCTTCTGCTCACCTCACTTCTTCCAGAAACTTAACTTCCTTGGTCCTCAGCTAACAGTCAAGTCAGTAACTTGCTTGAAAATTGCCTCTAACATTTTTTTTCACTGCTTGCAAATATATCTTTCCATTGAGTCTGCCACCATGTTTGCTTATCTATTTGACCAAGATGGTTTACTCCCATCTCTCTAGGAAATTCTTTTCTTTGTCATAAAGCACGTCAGTCCTGAAGGAATCATTTCCTAACCAACCTACCACAGTTTTGGTGTCTCCTTCAATCTCATTATTTTGCAAGTTAAACCTCCTAAATAACTTTAATCCTTTGTGTAAGAGTATGGTCTTATAAAAGACCATAGTAATTCAAACCTACGGCCACATGGAGAGAGTGAATTCGCAGAACGATGAAACAGTTATGCGAATTCAGAAGTGAAAGCCATGTGAATTCACTCAGTAGAACTTAGGTGATTTTAGAAGTAAATGAGACAGGACAACCGATAACAACAGGAGTTACAGCCATGTGTGGCAATAGGAAAGGGAAACCAAGTACAGTGAAAAGCACGTGACTTGGATCCTAAAGAAAGATGCCGAGAGTGTTATCGGCACACAATCCCATAAATGTGACTAACAAAAATACAAAATTGGCAACTAACTGGCGAATGTCCAGAAAGTTCCCCAAGATTCTATAAAAGACCCTGAAAAAAGGGAAGACAATCATCAGACCCTTTTTAGTTTAGCCTCAGAAAGAGGTAAATAACTTCCTTTTTCACCTTTTTCCCTGTTCTCTTTCTGTGGACATGGATTAACGTCCATCTTCTTTCAGAGATCAAGACATCTCAGATCCCGAAGAACGCTTTGCCATTCGAACCTTCAAACTCAACTCAACCAATCTCAGGCTACACGCACCTGGAGTAGAGAAAATAATTCTGCTCCTATGGAGTCTCCTTCCTCTATTGGTACCAAGTAAAAAACAAGGAAGTGCAATGAATTGTTTCTCAAGACTCCTCCTATATGAGCTTATTCTGGAGACTTCAATCATTAACAAGAAGTGCAATGAGTTGTTTCTCAAGACTCCTCCTATATGAGCTTATTCTGGAGACTTCAATCATTAACAAGGAAGTGCAATGAGTTGTTTCTCAAGACTCCTCCTATATGAGCTTATTCTGAAGACTTGAATCATTAACTTCAATATATAAAAATTGAAATTTGTCTTCCAACTTGAATCATTAAATGACAAAGTATTCTCCCAAGTGATTCAGGTCCAAAACAGTGAGAAAATAACCTCAGAGCTTAAATATTATCTCTCCTACAAGGAATAATGTTTACCTTTTTTCAATGAAGATTAAACTTACAGGTGGAAGTTGAGGGTCCAGTTGCCATAACATGGCTCACTGGCACAGCTGCAGATCCATGGTTTTTTACAATATGAGAATCATCTACTAAAAACAGAAAGAGAATACAAGGATTGGTGATAAACAATCACCAAAAAAAGAGAAAAACTCTCAATCGCTTGTCACTCCACCATACAAAACCAAAAAATCATAAAAAGAAGCTTATATAACCATCAATACAATGAAATCCCAGTTTCCAAATACAAAATAGATGTCTCCCATTCTTGCATATAAGCAAACAACCCAATTTATATTATATATAGAATAGGACTGGGTCCGCATCAGCAGTTTCTCTCCCCTTAGCATTGTGCCTCAAGACCCTCAGGAAATTTTCAGATTAAAAGTTATCTGAAAAAAAATCATGAAATATATGTAATAGAATTAGCATTTTGTGTCACATTTTTCCTTGTAAAGTGAATCGTGGAATGCTCATTAAAATGTTTTCAATTTGCGAACTCCTAAGACAATGCAACAGCTAACCCATTGGCTTATCTTTGGACCAAACAAAAAGTTGAATTTTACTCCCCAACCAGACATCTCATCTCCTCATGTTGTGGCTTTACTCCCAAAGCGCTGACCATTGTCATCCAGCCAACCAACTACCACCTTTGAGTCACCTTCCACAACAATGTTTATTAGATTTAACAATTTGCCAATTCAAAATCGTTGTAGCGCTGCTAGAATTTCTTTTCCCTTTCTGGAACCAGACTGAATCTCCCAACAGATATTCAGACCACTTCCCTACCAGAAGAAAGATATTTTGGAAATATCTTACAACAAAACTGTAGTTCTATGGATAGTGTGGGGAGAAAGAAACACAATGATATTCAAAGACAACAAAGGCGGTTCATTGTGTCCAAACTAGAGAATATTTCAAAGATTCTAGTGTGGTGACATTACTACAGTAAGGCAGCTTGTGCCTTCAACAGAACAGCATAAAGTTATTTTTGTTGCAGCATCAGGAATCCAGGAAGATCAGGATAATAGGAGACATCTTCCAGAATCACAAGCTAGAAATTTTGAACATATACATGGGTCCATAGCAAAGGAAATTCTATGCAATGCTGAGTTGCAATCCCTTCTACAAAAGCTAAGGCTAGCTAAATCGCTAGAGTGCAAATGATGGTTGCAGAAGGAAACTAGTTAATTGTTATTGGATGGTTGGAAGACTGAAAGAGATCCTTTGAGTTCACTCATGCAATAAGAGAGGCCAGATCTTTAGCATTCAATATGAACACATCATTCAGATAGGTCCAAAAACAAAGATGCAGACTTGTAGACAATGAAAACAATGAAAAAGAGTAACGACGAGGGTTTGCTAAACAAGCAGGCAGTTCTAAACTACATAAATTATTATATTAAAATCCTGGGGCTCTATCGCTCTAGGTAGGCCTGTTTTCAGTTATCTAACTCTGACCTAACTCTTTGAATTTCTCTGTTTCTTCTGTCTAAATAAAGCTCTTGTTGTCCCATTATTGGTCAACAGAGAGAACAGTTATAAGTTGGGTATCAATCAAAAATATATATTAATTCCAACTATTCAGATCCAAAAAAATAACAGCACGGAGAAACTAATTCCAAGGATATCAATACAATAGGTAACACCTTGCTACCATACACCTCAACCATAAGAAAAACATGCCTTTGGATTTTCTATTATTCCAATAAACTATTTATTACTAATCACAAAATACAAAAGCAGCTCCCAAAAGTTCAAGAAAAATAGTAATATTACCTGTCCTCCAGATGCCAACAAAGCACCAAACTCTAAAATCTTGCTGAAGTCAAAGCTGCAAAATTAAAATCAATGTACAAATAAATAAACAAAGTTGCATTAAAAATAGTTTACAGAAGACTTGTAAAGGACGGATTCATGCATAAAGGCATCATAAATAGAAAACAAATATAAACAACAAATGGAAAATACAACAGTATCCAATGAGGCAAAAGTGCATTCCAAATCAAGATCCATGATAACCTTCTGAAAGAGAGCCCTGCAACAACTTTTGGATGAAACTCTGGCCAACCCATAACCACATCATCAACAGTGCCAGAAATTCCAGCCCCTTCCATCTCTGCTTCAAGACAAGCAAATACTTCTTTCAGAGATGTATGCTTAACATTCTCTGCAATAGCCCCTACAGCACGAGCAGCAGCAACCCGTGTATCCCAGTTCTTACTACGAAGATATTGAGAAACCTAGAGTCCATAAAGACAAAATGTCAAGTCTAAAATCAATCTTTAACAATGACTTAACTTTCAAAGTTATAACATATAGGCTCAGTTTGCTTGCAGTGTTGTGCCCGGGCTTGGCGTGCAGATTTCTAGGATTAATGCGGGCCTGGGCTAGGCTGAGCCTAAGCACAAAAGCCTGGGCCCGGGCTTGGGAATTTTGTGGGTTGGGCAGGCAAGGCAAAGAATGGTCACTCCTAAGAGGGATATTTCTTTTCTAGTGAGATAAGAAACAAGATGATGTGGCCACCACTTCATATGAGAGAATTGAGATGAGAGCAAGATGGAGCAAATTTTGCATCAGTTTTTGGGATACAAAATTTTCACTGCCAGTGAGTGGAAATGAGACAAAAAGTACAAATTTTATATTGGGTAGGAGTATAAATCATAGTTACAAACAAACGAATGTAAAATTGAATTGGGTGCAAAATTTGTAGCCAGATCAGATTTGCATTACGACCAAACAAAGCCATACTGACAAATATTAAATACAAAAGCTTAAAGCTATGATGATAGTTCAATAATAGGCTAAATTAGTAGAATGAAAGCAATTACTCCGCCAATTAAATTTCGTTCCACACCTCAAGGTTAAAAATGTTGGCATCAGTGAAGAATGCAGAAATAAACATTGATATTTTATGAAATGATAAAAGAAGCACACACACAACCTTTTAAATTACTATCTGGTTCCACACTATCAGATAAACCTAGAAACAAAAGGTTAACAGACAATTATATGCACCAATCAAAAAAATAATATGTTGCAATGCTGCCATGTATTAAGAGTCAGAATCACATAATAGAATAAGTTCAAGCAAAAATTTTAGCTCATAAAAAGTTCATTCTAATAGATCAACCAAATACTTCATGTGTAAAAAGACTTTTGAGTATCTCAAAGTGGTAATCATGTCCATTAGAAGCAATAAAATCCCTACTCCACATTATTACTTGCACAAGGGTTTCTTGACTATATAGCAAGAAAAGAGAAAATGGGAGTTCATGCGGTGTATTGAATACCCCAACTCCAAAGGGCATATTTTATTAGAAGGGCAGAGAATACAATTACAAAAATCACCCTATTGAGCAATATACATATATAAGATTATACATAATTGAAGAATCCTAAAACCATAGGACAACATAAAATAAAATATTGTTTAAAATTTTGATTACAATTTTATCCCACTCCCCCTTAAACTGATGTGGGGTGAACATCAATTTGTCCACACTCCCCCTCAAACTGGACTATCCTAATACCGAAGGTTGCTTCTTGCATTTCTATGAAACAATTGAATTTCTTAGATAAACCATTCAGTTGTAGAGCAACGTGTATAAAGCAACCATCCCAATCAGCATATGAATATGCACGAAAATGAAATAAGGATGAAGAGGGAAACAATAATCCCCTCTCTGAAGCAAGAGACATCCAAATTTACAGCCCCTTCCTATCACTCTTCTAGTATCTTGCTCCTATATCAAAAAAAAAAAAACTACCATGAGAAAAGTGAACATTGTAACCATCATCAACCAATTGACCAACAGATATCAGATTACTGGCTAATTTAGGACCCCTATTGTATATAGATTTTCTCAAGAGGTAAGGTATTTATGTCCCCCCTCATAGGTTTTTTCTTGAAATTTAATAAAATTTTACAGTGCCCTCCCCTCCACCGGGGGTAAAGTTTGGGGTTTAAAAAAATAGTGGCTAATTTAGGAACCAAAAATACTGGTTTAGAGATAGACAACTTGAGAGGGTAGCAGACAGGGTCAGATTATTAGGACCAATGATAATAAGTTTATCCCCATTGGCAGTGACAATTTGATTATTCCAGAGAGCCCTGAGTCAATAATTCAAAGGGAATTCATTGGAGAATATAAGCAACAATAATTGCCAAAGAGCCCAATAGCAGAGAATGCAAATGAGATAGCTAGCTAATGAAATCATGGCCTGAACATGTTGCTCTAAGAGGCAACTAGGAATATGCGAAGTATGACCTAAAGTTGAGACTTGAGAGGGTGTTCATGAGGTACCAGAAAGAGTTGAACTTGTCTCACAATTAGTCCCATCAGAAGTGACATGATAAGCTTTAAACATTTTCTTTCCTCAAAAATACTTGGTTCTGCAGTCAGCCACCACATGATTATGATGCTTGCAATATACACAAAAAACTTTTTCGCTTGCAATTAGACGCAAGATGGACAAATTTCTTACATTCATTTTTTTTGGAAAAAGGTTGAAGTAATTTTATTCAATGAGAAAGCAGATTACAGCAAGACTCAGGCCAACTAGATCCTCCTGAGCCCAAAACATATTACAAGAACATCCATGATTTAGTACAAAGAAGGAGAGAAACATTCTGACTTTTAAACTCCTCATTCACCAACACCCAGGAGCAAATCTTCCCCACCACTTTCTGCACAATCTCATCTGGACTTTTTGATTGATTACAGAAAATTCTATTGTTTCTTTCCATCCAAATGGACCAAAGGATAGCCTGTGGAATAGTATTCCAAACAAGCCTGCATTTCTTGCTAAGACCCTCCAATCTCCAACTCATAAACAGCTCCTTCACAGACTTAGGCATAGCCCAACACACCTCTAGTTTCTTGAAGAAATGTCCCCAGATTGAAGAGGAAATCAGACAGTGATGCACAAATGATCTATAGATTCAGCACCCATGCTGCATAAAACACAGGAGGGATCAAGAATCTGAGCACCCCTTCTCTTCAAGTTGACCCTAGTTAAACATTTATTCAAAACCATTGTCCAAACCAGGAAGTTAACCTTGAAGGGACAGATGGGGTTCCAAATCTGCCTATCCGGGAAGTTCTCCTGACCTGAGCTGCACATCTTAAGGAAAAGGGATTTAACTGTGAAGCTACCATCTGCATTCCATTTCCAAGTCCATTCATCTTCCATACTCATGTCAATTCTCTGATTTTGAATCTGCCTCAACAGACCTACATACTCCTCCACTTCCCAGTCTAGTAAATTCCTCCTACATAGGGGAGTCCAAGTAAAGGAGCCCCCAGAGGTACTAATGTTATCAGCAACTGAAGAATCTTGATTCACTGCAATTTGGAACAGCCGGGGAAAAGCATCAGCCAAGGGACCTTCCTCAGACCAGGAATCCTTTCAAAACTTAATTTTATCCCCTTTTCCAACTTTAAACTTGACCCGTTCATGAAAAGAGTACTGACCTTAGAAATACCAACCCAGAGAGAGCTACCCCCAAATGAAAGGGGATCAAGAGTTTTCCAATTTCCCCAATCCACACCATACTTAGCCACAATGAGGCACCTCCACCAAGCATTTCTCTCATAAGCAAACCTCCATTTCCATTTGCTAAGAAGAGCAGCATTGAAATCTTTCTCTTTCCTAATTCCCAAACCGCCCTTCTCCTTAGGCATACACACTTGCCCCCACTTAACAATGTGAATTTTCTTCTCATCCTCCTAACCCCCCCATAAGAAGTTCCTTTGAAGCTGATCAAACCTCTTTGCAATTTTATTTGGAATTGGAAAGGGAGAAAGAAAATGTGTTGGGAAGTTGGACAGGGAGCTCTTAATCAATGTAACCCTACCACCAAAAGATAAATATTTAGCCTTCCAAAGAGCCAACCTCTTCTCCATTCTCTCAATGATTGGGCACCAGATTGAAGAAGAGGAACATTTAGCCACAAGAGGCAGCCCCAAATACTTAACCAAAAGGAGCTCCATATGGCAGGCCATTATCTGTGCACAATCCTCCAAATTTAAAACTTGACCCACTGGGATGATCTTACTTTTGCTCAGATTGACTTTGAGACCYGTAACCACTTCAAACCAACTCAGAATTCCAAGAACTGTTTCCAACTGAGGCAGAGATGCATCCACAAAGCAGAGGGTATCATCAGCAAACTGAAGAATAATAACTTTCTCTTTACCTGGAGAGATAGCAAACCCATTCCATAATCCCAATTCTACAGCCTTCTTACTAAAAAGAGTGAGGATTTCCATAACACAGATGAACAGCAAGGGTGACAGAGGATCTCCCTGTCTCAGCCCCCTAGAACTACCAAGGAAACCCGTGGATTGCCCATTAATTAGGATTGAAAATTTGGAGGTCTTAGTACAAACACTAACCCAGTTTCTCCATTTCTGGCCAAAATTCATACAATCCAAACAATTCCAATTGACACATTCATAATCCTTCTCAATGTCAAGCTTACAAACAACCCCCAGAATACCCTGTCTTCTCCTTGAGTCAATTAACTCATTAGCAACTAAAATTGAGTCTACCATCTGTTTGCCTGGAATAAATGCACTCTGATTATTTGAAATAACATTACCCATCACCCTTTCATTCTTTCTGCCAAGACTTCCGCCAAAATTTTATAGAAACTGTGAAGTAAGCTAATCGGCCTAAACTCTTTAATATTCACAGCCCCCTCAATTTTTGGAATAAGGGAGATAAAAGTGGCATTTAGACTTCTTTGTAGGGATGCATTTGTATGAAACTCCTGGAACACCTTCATCACATCCTCTTTCACAAAGTCTCAGCACTTCAGATAGAAGAGATTGGTGAAACCATCCGGCCCAGGAGATATATCACCTTCAAGCTTCTTAATTGCTGCACTGACTTCCTCTTCTGTAAAAAGCCTTTCAAGCCAAATTTTCTGGGTCTCACTCAGTTGCCTAAAGGAGAGATTGAAGGGAAATGGCCTCAGCTTCCACTTTTCCTTGTAAAGGTCTTTATAGAAAGAGGTTGCAACTGCTTTAATCTCTGAATCAGATTCACCACATCTCTCATTCCATGTCAACTTCTTAACAACTGAAACTCTAGCTCTAGCATTAGCCACTTTGTGAAAGAAATGTGTATTTTTGTCACCTACCTTTAGCCAAGTAACTTTAGCCCGTTGTCTCCATTTCAATTCCTCTTTCACCACCAATTTTTCAATGCTGTTTTTTTGCTTGAAGCCTTTTCA